GCAGTATGAAGTGCCTCAAAAAAATTTTTTTACCTTGGAAAGGGGAAAATTTTTTTTTCTAGATGCCTATCTAGAATTTATTTATTGAATAATTAATTCATCTTTTTTTAAATAGTTTGAAATGTCACATAAAATACTAAAACTTCTATGGCCCAGAATTACACAGTTTTCTTATAGCTTATTGATATATTTCTCTCCTCTTTCAGCATTTTTCTGTAGAAATGTTTGTTTTTCTATATGAACTTTAGAATCATCTTGTTTAATTCCCAGTTGACTCTGTTGGCATTTTTATTGGAATTGTGTTAAATTTAATGACTAAATCAAGGAGAATTTGCATTTTTTAATGCTAATTCTAGTTATCCACAAACATGTTTTATAAGCATTTTAAAGCTTCTTCTAATGCATCACTCATTATTCTTATTAAATTTATTCCTTGGTGTTTTGTCCCTTTTGTTGTTAACATGGAAGTATTAGTTTGCTAGGGCTGCCAAAACAAGATACACAGACTGGGTTGCTTAAACACAGTTATGGAGGTTGGAACTCCAAGATCAAGGTGCCAGCACAAGATCAAGGTGCCAGCACAGTTGATTTCTCTGAGGCCTCTCTTCTTGGCTTTGGCTGCTGACCCTTTTACGCTTTCTTCACGTTTGTTTTTTTTTTCTGTGTACGTTCATCCCTGTGTCTATGTGTCCAAATTTCCCCTTTTTGTAAGGACATCAGTCCAATTGATTTAAGGCCCACCTATAAAATTTCATTTAATCCTAATTACCTTTTAATTTATTTTTTATTGATTTCAGAGAAGAAAGGAGAGGGGGGAGACAGAAACATCAATGATGAGAGAGAATCATTGATCGGCTGCTTCCTGCACACCCCTCACTGGAGATTGAGCCGGCAACCCGGGCATGGGCCCTGCCAGGAATCAAATCATGATCTCTTGGTTTCATAGGTCGATGCTCAACCACTGAGCAACACCAGCTGGGCCTAATTATCACTTTAAAGACTCTATCTCCAAACAAATCACATCCTGAGGTACTGGGAGTTACGGCTTCAACATATGAATTTTAGGGGGACACAGTTCATTCCATAACAATGGCAAATAAAGAATTTTCTTTCTTTTACCTAGTAACTGTTAATTTGTATATCTGAAAGTGATTTCAGTATTTTATTTTGCACCTAGTCATATTGCTTCTGATTTATAATAGTTTTTACTTTATTCACTTAAAATTAGGTTATCTGTGCCCAGCCGACGTGGCTCAGTGGTTGAGCATTGACCTCGACCTATGAACCAGGAGGTTACAGTTTGATTCCCAGTCAGGGCACATGCCCAGGTTGTGGACTTGACCCCCAGTGTGAGTCATGCAGGAGGCAGCCAATCAATGATTTTCTCGAATCATTTATGTTTCTATCGCTCCCTCCCTCTCCTTTCCTCTCTGAAATTAACAAAAATACATTTTTAAAAATTACATTATTTGTAAATAATCATTTTCTCATCCTTTATAGTTTTTATACCTTTTTTTGTCTAATGCAGTTAGAACTATTGATACAAGGTTAATTAAGAGTAGTAAGAGTAGATCCTCTTGTATTCCTGACTTTAATGAGGCTAGTAACTTCTGGTGTTCCCATTAAACATGGTACTGGCTTTTGGAATAACATAGATTTATTTTGTCACTGTAAGGGCATATCTTCTATTTTTATTTTATTACAATGTTTAATAAATGGATATTATAATTTAAAAAACAATTATGGATAATTTTATCAAATTCCTTTTTGGCATACATAGAAATGATTGTATATGTTTTCTCTTTGATCCAATAATGTATCGAATGTATAAATCAGTTTCCTAATATTGAACCATCCTTGCTTTTCTATATTTGGTTATGACATATTCTTTTTAAATTTATTGATTTGAGAGAGAAGAAGGGGGAGAGAGAGAAAGAAAGAGAAACACTGATTCATTTTACACTTACTTATGCATTCATTGCTTGATGCCTTGACTCCTGGATTGAACCCGCAACCCTGGTGTATTGGGGCTGAGCTACCTGACCAAGGCTATGACATTTTCTTTGAATTTTCTCTTTGCATAAAAATTCATAAATGGAATATCTATAGATTTATTGTTTTATCAAATCTATTGAGTTAGGCACAATTTTATTCTTGCTTCTGGGGTCAGTTTTTTGTTTTGGTTTTTTACTCTCACCTCAGGATATATTTTCTATTGATTTTTTTTAGAGAGAGTGGAGGGAAAGAAGGAGGGGGGGGGGAGAGAGAGAGAGAGAAAAACAATGTGACAGACATCAATTGGTTGCCTCCTATCCGCACCCCAATTGGGGCTGGAGATCGAGCCTGCAACTGAGGTATGTGCCCTTGACCAGGAATCGAACCCAAAACCCTTCATTATGTGGGCTAGCGCTCTAACCCTGAGCCAAATTGGCCAGGGCTGTGCTTAGTTTTGTTTATATTTTCTTATTATTTGTTTTCATTCATTTCTAAGTTTATTTGCATGCAATTGAGCAAAGTAATCTCTTAATATTATTTTAGTTTTGTCTTTTGTAGCTGTTTATTTACCATTTCTGCGTGTGTGTATATGCACATGAATTCTTTTCTTTCCTTTTTTGTTGTTTTTTTAAATATATTTTTATTGATTTTAGAGAAGAAGGGAGAGATAGAAATATCAATGACGAGAGAGAATCATTGATGGGCTGCCTCTTGGATGCCCCCAGCTGGGGATTGAGCCCACAACCCGTGCATGTGCCCTGACCTCCTGGATCATAGGTTGACACTCAACCACTGAGCTTCCCTATGTTGTTTTGATTGGGCTGCAGTGGTTTTCAACCTTCCTAATGCCGCGACCCTTTAATACAGTTCCTCATGTTGTGGTGACCCCCAATTTCATTGTTACAAATTGAACATAATTAAAGCATAGTGATTAATCAAAAAACAATATGTAATTATGTATGTGTTTTCTGATGGTCTTAGGCGACCTCTGTGAAAGGGTCATTTGACCCCCAAAGGGGTCGCGACCCACAGATTGAGAACCGCTGGGCTAGAGGATGGTTATTTATTATGTTTTTCAAATAACCAGCTTTGGGTTTATTAATTGATTTTGTCTTCTAATTTATTTATGCTATCTTTATTAATTCATTTGATTTCTTTTTAGGTTTACTTTATTGATAGATAATGCAATTAATATTCCTAGTTAGTCATTAGTCTATTAATTTGATTTATAGTTTCTTGTTCTACAGAAGTTTTAAGTTTTTAGTAACCAAAACTATCAGCCTTTTTCTTTTATAACTTCTTTGTTTCATATTACTCTTCTAAAAAGGCTTCACACCCTCCATTATAAAAATGCTTTATGATTTTCATAGATTTATGATTTTTTTTAACTTTCTAGAATTTATTTTTCCTTACTATTTGAGGTCGTGTTTAAATTATTTTGTTTCCAGGTAGATTGCCAACCATTCCTACATCACTTATTAAACAATCTATCTTTGCCTCATTTATTTGAAATACTTATATACCTAACATTTTATATCTTGTGAAAAATCCTATTGATCTTTTCAGATTATAGGATTATTTTGGGGGATAATTAAATTGACATCTTTAAAACATTGAGTCTTTACATGTAGAAATATGGAATATTTCTCTGTTTACTTCAGTTTTTCTGTGTCCTTCAGTAAGGTTTTATCATTTTCTTATTAGGTTTATTCCTAGGTGTCTTATAGTTTTTGTTAAGATTATAAATTAAATGGTTTTCATTATTTTTCTTATCTGGTTATTGATATATTTTGATTTTTCTATATTAATCTTGTCCAACTTAAGTTACTGAACCCTTTGACTGTTTCTGTTTGATTTTTTAGTTGATTCTCTTGGATTTTCTAGATAGTCTTGTTGTCTCTTTGTTCCCAGTACTTACACTGTGTTTTTAAGTTTTGCTTCTGGCAGGGTATCTCATTGACTCGACTTGGTCTTCCGGAGTGGTTGCTCTATTCTTCTTAGCTCCAGAGGACAGAACTGGGACAGATAGGCAGAAAGCTAGAGCTATTTGAACATGGAAGTAAAGCTGATTTGACAGTAGTAATGTCAGATAAAATACAATGTAAAGTGAAGAGTATTCATAAAGCAAAATAAGCAGCTAGAGCATTATTGAATTTACCTAACACCTCATATAGACTTGAAAATAAAAACTGGCAAGATTAGAAAGAAAACTGATGAGTTCACAGTTATGTGAGAGATTTTAGCATACCTGTACTAAAATGAGTAGGTAAACAGAAAATTAGTCAAGAATATAGGGAAAATTTGAACAACACAACTGATGAAGTTGATCTAATACATTTAGAAAATTAGCAAATAGAGAATATGTGTTATTTTTTACCACACAAGGAATACTTAGAAAACTGTATGCTCAATCATAAAAGAAGTCTCCAAAATTTAAGGTAACCAGAATCTATAGACCAGATTCTCTTACCACAGTAATTAAACTTGAAACCAGCAATAAACACAAATTTTTGAAAATCTAATCTGATTAGAAACTAGAAAATACACTTACAAGTAACTCATAGTTTAAAGAGAAAGCTTGAAAAGAGCCAGCAGAGTAAAGAATGAAGTAGGTAGATTGAAGAGCATATTAAAGATCATAATTTTTTTATATCGTGATGGCAAATGATAAGACTAGTAAAATTGGCCAGTATAGGTATTACTTGAACCTCTATTCCTATTCAGGGTTTATTTGGACATTAATACTATTTTTCTTTAGAAGACAGCCAATGTGAGCTAATAATAATATAAGACTCAAAATATATATTACAAATTTATAAATTTATTGTAAAATTTTCGGGAGTGTATTTTTCCATATAACCAGAAAATTAACTATAGAACTATTTAAGTGAAAACATCAAAATGTAGAATTACTTTACTGTTGTTTATTTTAAAGATTTTTATAATGGCCTTTAATAAATAATTCTTTTTATATATTTAAGATATTTTTCTTTCTCTTCTTGTAGGTCACTCAAATGAGTCGTCCAGACCTGATTCTCTTTCTGATGAAATACCTGATGGCTCTCATAGTTGGTATTCCCTCCATATTTTGGGTTGGAAGCAAAAAGACATGCTTTGAATGGGCCAGTTTTTTTCATGGTCGTAGGAAAAAAGAGTAAGTTGAAGTAAATTAGCACAATGTTCACAGACTTCACATTCACGTCAATGTTTTTGTGTTGCTTACATTAAACTAATTTGGATTATAACTTCAGCTGCCATCAGTTAAGACTGGCATAGTAGCATGTCTTAATTAAAAACTAAAACCTTGGTTTGGCTCAGTTGGTTGAGCATTGTCCTGTGCAACAAAAAGTCACTGGTTTGATTCCCTGTCAGGGGTTGGATTTCTGATCAAGACACATGCCCAGGTATGGGCTCTCTCCCCAGTTAGGAGTGGGGGAGGGGGCATGCAGGAGGCAGCCAATTGATGTTTCTCTCTCTAAAATCAATAAAAAACATTTTTAAGATAATATAAAAAGCTAAAGACGTGGCCCTGGCTGGATAGCTCAGTTGAGTAGGGTGTCATCCCAGTACACCAAGGTTGCATGTTCAATCTCCAGTCAGGATACATACAAGAATCAATCAATGAATGCATAAATAAGTAGAACAATAAATTTGTTTCTCTCTCTTTCCCTCTCCCTCCCTCCCTCTCAAATCAATTTTTTAAAAAAAGCTAAAAACTTCTCTTCCTTACTAAGAGATATGAGGAAAGGTCAATCTTTATTTTTAAAAATCCAAATTATAATTTTTCTTAAAATTAAAAACAAAGTAATGCTTTTATATACATTCTTATATTATGCTCGTGATATTCCTGTGAGGGTTGGTATGTATTATAATCTTTGTGTTACAGATGAGAAAACAGACACAGAGAGGTTAAGTGCCTTGGCCTAAGTCACACAGGTATTAAATTAGGCTTCCATTTCAAATTGAACTTCCAAGTAAACCATAAATGATTTAAGAGATAGCATACTATTCTGTTCTAATATAGTACACATTAAAGCCAATATAGAAAAAATTATTTCATTAGATTACATAAAATATGTTTAAGAAAGTATTTTAATTCAATTCATAGTTGGCCACACTGCATATTAGAATATTATGGTAACGGTAAGACTTGCCAAAGCAGTCTTTTGAGGGCACATTTAAAGAATCTTTAATTTTTAATTTTTTTGAACCCTTAGTTCATAAAATAAAACAAGGTTCTTCAATATTCACAAAGGAACAAATTATTTTAAACTTTTTACTCAGAATCTTATATGAACATCATATCTGAATTCTAAATTAGTAGAATAACTTATGGATAGGATCCATGGAAATCGGGTTTTGGGAGATATTCTTAAGATTGTATTTAAAATGTTGTGCCTTGTATGGGTTAATGTACTTTCTTTTTTTTTTTTATTAAATCTTTATTGTTCAGATTATTACAGTTGTTCCTCTTTTTTCCCCCCATAGCTCCCCTCTACCCAGTTTCCACCCCACCCTCTGCCCTTACCCTCCCCCCCCAACTGTCCTCAGCCATAGGTGTACGATTTTTGTCCAGTCTCTTCCTGCACCCCCCACCCCCCACCCGAGAATAGTCAGTCCACTCCCTTTTTATGCCCCTGATTCTATTCTATTCACCAGTTTATTCTGTTCATCAGATTATTAATTCACTTGATTTTTAGATTCACTTGTTGATAGATGTGTATTTGTTGTTCATAATTTGTATCTTTACCTTTTTCTTCTTCTTCCTCTTCTTAAAGGTTACCTTTCAGCATTTCATATAATACTGGTTTGATGGTGATGAACTCCTTTAGCTTTTTCTTATCTGTGAAGCTCTTTATCTGACCTTCAGTTCTGAATGATAGCTTTGCTGGGTAAAGTAATCGTGGTTGTAGGTTCTTGCTATTCATCACTTTGAATATTTCTTGCCACTCCCTTCTGACCTGCATAGTTTCTGTTGAGAAATCAGCTGACAGTCATATGGGTACTCCCTTGTAGATAACTGACTGTTTTTCCCTTGCTGATTTTAAGATTCTCTCTTTTTCTTTTGCTCTTGGCATTTTAATTATGATGTGTCTTGGTGTGGTCCTCTTTGGATTCCTTTTGTTTGGGGTTCTCTGCGCTTCCTGGACTTGTAAGTCTATTTCTTTCACCAGGTAGGGGAAGTTTTCTGTCATTATTTCTTCAAATAGGTTTTCAATATCTTGCTGTCTCTCTTCTTCTGGCACCCCTGTAATTCTGATGTTGGTATGCTTGAAGTTGTCCCAGAGGCTCCTTACACTATCTTCATATTTTTGGATTCTTTTTTCTTTTTGTTTTTCCGGTTGGGTATTTTTTGCTTCTTCGTATTTCAAATCTTTGACTTGATTCTTGGGATCCTCTGCTCTGCTGTTGGAACTCTGTATAATATTCTGTATTTCAGTCAGTGTATGCTTAATTTCTACTTGGTCCTTTTTCATATCCCCAAGGGTCTCACTTGATTTCTTGAGGGTATCACTAAATTTATCAGCAGTTTCTAGAAAATTCTTGAAAAACCTTATAAGTGTGGTTTTGAAGTCTATATCCAGTAGTTTGCTTTCCTCCATTTCTGTCATTTGTGACCTATTTCTTTGTCTCCACATTTTGGCTGCTTCCCTGTGTTGGTGGAGTGGCTTTGTGTGCTAGGTGTCCTGTAGGGCCCAGTGTCTCAGCCTCCCCAGTTACCTGAGGTGGACACTCTTGGTACACCCCTTTGTGGGCTTTGTGCACAGTCTTGTTGTAGTTAAGCCTTGATTGTTGTAGGTATCACTGGGAGGATTTGACCTCCAGGCAAATTGGCTATGAGAATCAGCTGTGGTTACGGAGGGAGAACTTCTGTGCTGGAGACACCCTTATGGGGCAAGACTTGCCTCAGTGGGGCTTTGGTGCTCACTGAGTCTGCTCCCTGAGTGTGTCCCTTGTGGATCTGAGGAATTGTAATCTGGATGGTCCATTCTGACCGCTGGGTACACTGGCTCTTGGATCTCTAAGGAGATGCTAATTTAGCCTCTGCCTGAGGCTACCCAGCAGGAGCTATGGAGAGATCTGCAGATTTCTCTTCTTTGTTTGGAGTTTGGAGGTGCCCAGATGAGGCCCAGCTGTGAAGCAGTGCAAGCTGCTGTGGGGCCTTGGGCCTTCTTTTGGATGTTCTGGGTTTCTCTGACCCAGCTGCAGTTAGTTAGGTATTTTTATATTGCAAAGAGCCAGGGCATTCATATGTAAAAGCCTCTGCACACAGCTTGGGTGGGGCGGGGTCTCAGGGAATCAACAGGGTGGAGCAAACAGCTATGGCTGCTCCCCAGTCCTACCCTAAGAGGCCCCACATCTCAGTGTCCGCGGTAATCACTGGAAGCATCTCTGAGAGAAAGCCGCCCTCGAGTTCCGACCGATGCCAGACAGTCCAGTGTCTCCCTGTATGAGTCTGGGTCCCCAGAGACTCGCCTGGAACTGGCGTTCAGAGTAGTTGGGAGCTTGTGTCTTTCTCCCGATTGAAAAAGACAGCCATGTCCTCAGTTGTCAGCCCTTTCCACGTGCACCTCCGTACCTCTGCACTTTACTTCCACACCTCTGAGTCTCAGTATGCTTTTCTCTTTCCTTCTAGTTGTAGAATTTCCACTCAGCCAGCCTTCCTGTGGTTCTGGATGATGCCGGTTTTGTCTTTTAGTTGTATTTTTGAAGTGGTTGTGTGAGGTAGCAATTTCTGGTGTTTACCTATGCCGCCATCTTGGTTTTCTCGAGGGTTAATGTACTTTCACTATGCAACTTTTAAAGTGCCTCAATAACCAAAATCTATATTTTCTAAAATATTAGTGATTAGTAGTTTCTCTTAAACAGTTTAAATTGAAATAAAATAATCACATTTAAAATATATATATTTCTTATCCTGAGACTGCTACTAGTGATATCAGATAATGTATTTCTCCTTTAAATACAGTTTCATAGGGCAGAGAGGGAAAAAAGGGGAAAGATGCATTCAACAGCAACCACAAAAATATGTTTTCTAGGCATTAATTCATTCTTTAAGAAGTCTTTATTGAATGCTTACTATGTGCCATGCACTATTTTGGGATGCCAGGGATTCAATAGCAAACAAGGCAGGACAAGTTCCTGCTTTCGCGGAGTCTTTTTTGTAGGATTTACTGTGATTTATCTGTGTATTTGTTGAACATTTTAAATATATTTTAATCACAGTACAACATAAAGCTGAGGAAGGGACTTGAATTAAACATTCCTGGTCACCTCTGGATCATCCTATCTAATAATAGACAAACATGGTGATTAACCATACCTCAGCTACGCTTCCCATTGGCTAATCAGGATATGCAAATTAACTGCCAACAAAGATGGCGGCCAGCAGCCACACAGCTGAAGCGAACATGAGGCTTTCTTGCTCCAGTGATGGAGGAAGCCAAGGTTCCCCGCCTGCCATGGCCCAGCTCTGAGCTCCGGATGCAACAATGTTGCAATTATAGAAGCTAAACAAACCCAGATACCTGCTTTCAGCCACCACGGCCTCAGAGCTTAGAGCGCCAGTGATGGCAACAGAGTTTCAATTATAGAAGCTAAACAAACCCAGATACCTCCTTTCAGCCAGCCACAGCCTCAGAGCTGGAACCGGCTCTCAGCTCCAGTGACAGCTATAGAAGGTAAGTAAATCCCAGAATAAAAAAAATAAAAAATAGGCTGGGAGCTTCAGTCGCCCGCCAGCCTGAAAATGGCCCTCAGCCCCTTACCCAGGCTGGCCAGGCACCCCAGTGGGGACTCCCACCCTGAAGGGGGTGTGACCAGCTGCAAACAGCCATCATCCCCTCATCCAGGCTGGCCAGGCACCCAAGCGGGACCCCCACCCTGATCCAGGACACCTTTCAGGGCAAACCAGCTGTCCCCCACCCATGCACCAGGCCTCTATCCTATATAATAAAAGGGCAATATGCAAACTGACCCTAACAGCAGAAAGACTGGGAATAACTGGTCACTATGACACACACTGACCACCAGGGGGTAGATGCTCAGTGCAGGAGCTGCCCTCTGGTGGTCAGTGAGCTCCCACATAGGGGAGCTCTGCTCAGCCACAAGCCAGGCTGATGGCTTGCCAGTACAGCGGTGGTGGTAGGAGCTTCTCCTGCCTCCTCAGCAGCACTAAGGATGTCTGACTGCAGCTTATGTCTGCTCCCCGCTGGCAAGTGGACATCCCCCAAGGGCTGCCGGGCTGCTAGAGGGATGTCTGATTGCCATCTTAGGCCCAATCCCCCGGGGATCAGGCCTAAGCCAGCAAGTGGTCCCCCCCGAGGGGTCCCAGACTGTGAGAGGGCACAGGCCGGGCTGAGGGGCCCCCTACCCCCAAGTGCACAAGTTTTTGTGCATCGGGCCTTTAGTCCTATATAATAAAAGGGTAATATGCAAATTATCCTCTTGACCGGGAGTTCTACTGGAGTTCAACCAGGGGGCGAACTCTACTGGAGTTCAATCAGGCCAGCTGGCCAACTTCCCCTGTCCCCTACCCCTGGCTAGCCTGGCCCAGTTGGCCTCTATCGGGGCAAGCCGGCTAGACTCCACCCATGCACAAATTCATGCACCAGGCCTCTAGTAAACAAATAATTCTGTATGGGGTTGTATTGGAAATTCCACATAAAGCTACCCAACCTACCCTTATGAGGAATCATTCTAGTTATTGGGAGAACCTGGTTGGGCCAGAATCTTTTTCACACTGATAAAAGTTCCCAAGGATCCTTTTACTTGGTTTTCTGCAACCATGGATACCTCCTCAGCAAAGTCATTGTGGCCCTCCAAGCTAGGATGGTGCTATTTTTGACTTACTCTTTCTTCTATTTAGTTTTTGACACTTTGTTTTCAGGATTATGTAAACATTGTTTTATCATTACTTGATGATTGGTTTCTAAGCCACTTAAACTTAAGTTTGATCCCTAACTACTGATTTTGTTGTGGAAAGCCCATTGATCCCTTCAAACCTCAGTTTTTCATCTATAAAATGGGGACCACAATATTTATTCTTAATAGATATCTCATATCCTCTTAGAAATATTCTCTCAGGACATTCGTCTCCATAACAAAAACATTATTAGGAAGAATAGCCCTGGCCCAACCAGTGTGGCTCAGTGGTTGAGGATCAACCTTTGAACCAGGAGGTCACAGTTCAATTCCCAGTCAGGGCACATCCACAGGGGTGTGCAGGAGGCAGCCAGTCAATGATTCTCTCTCATCTTTGATGTTTCTGTCTCTATCTCCCTCTCCCTTCCTCTCTGAAATCAATAAAAATATATTGAGAAAAGAAAAAAAGGGTAGTCCTGTCCATTGTGGCTCAGTTGGTTGGGTGTTGTCCTGTGTACCAAAAGGTTGCTGCAGCTTCAATTCCTGGTCAAGGTACATGCCCTGGTTTCATGTCACGATCCCTGTCGCAGGGGCATATAGGAGGAAGTTGATTGATGTTTTGCTCTCACATTGATGTTTCTCTCTCCCTTTCTTTCTCTCTAAAAATCAGTTTTAAATAAAATGATTTTTTAAAGGATCAAAGAAGAATATATTTAAAATACCTGGCACAATGCAGGTACTTAACAAATGTCAGTTTTCCTTCAGCCTTTCTACCCAAGTTCTAAAAACAACAACAATGCTTTTGTAATTTGAAAAAAGAATATATGCACTTTCTCACTGTATGATCCAATCTTTACATATTTGAGGTTGTTGTTTTTTTAATGAAATTTTTTATCTAATTTTAACTTTAATCCTGACTCTCAAGTCACTGATTTACATAAACTGAGACACGGATCTTTGCAACAATTTAATTGGCTCTTTTATTAATTTAATTACCCCTTTGTTCATCATCATAAACATTTGCTTTTAATACTTTCATAGCAGTTAAAAACTTTTGCTCTTGACAATAATTTATCTCCTTAATTATTTTCCTTAAGCCTTTAATATGTCTGAGACTTAATTATATGTTTGCTTAAAGTAATTTTTCATGTTTTTGTTCTAATTATGACCATTGACGTTTATTCTAGCATTAGACAACTGCTTCTACCAGAAAATTAAGTTGTAGCCTTAAAATAACTGCTCTTATAAGTTAAAAAATGTATCTGAGGCCTCCATTACTTCCATAAACAATGCAATTAAACAGTTCCTCTATTTTATAGTAATATCTTTGTAATATTTTAGTGCCCTTGCAAATCATAAAATTCTTTAGCTGAAAGAGACTTTTTAGAAATGATTAATATAACTTCATTTTATAGATAAGGAAAATGAAGGAAAGGAGGTAGTGACTTGCCTAAGATCACATATTTATTGATAGAGTTGAAACTAAAATTTTTATTTTCTTATTCTAGCACAGATCTCTTTCTGTCTATCACTTTAGAGAACAGATTGACACGAATTTTTTAAAAAAATATTTTTATTGATTTCAGAGAGGAAGGGAAAGGGAGAGAGAGACAAACATCAGTAATGAGAGAGAATCATTGGTTGGCTGCCTCCTGCACACCTCACACTGGGGCTCGAGCCCACAACCCAGGCATGTGCCTTGACCTGGAACTGAACCGTGACCTCCTGTTTCATAGGTCGTTGCTCAACCACTGAGCCACTCCAGTTGGGCTGATTGAGATGAATTTTTGTTATATACTCTTTTGTCTGTTAACAATGTTATATCTGTTCTAAAGACATTATGTGGACAGCAATTAATTTAAAGAATAACGTCAGTGCGTCACAAAAGTATTGTTTGTTAGTCTATAGGAATGTTAACTGTATCTTAAACTTAGTATTTTGTTGTCTAGGATAGTGAATGAGAGCCGACAAGTACTCCAAGAACCTGATTTTGCTCAGTCCCTCCTGAGGGATCCAAATACTCCTATTATAAGGAAATCAAGAGGAACTTCCACTCAAGGAACATCCACACATGCTTCTTCAACTCAGCTGGCTATGGTGGATGATCAGAGAAGCAAAGCAGGGAGTGTCCACAGCAAAGTGAGCAGCTATCATGGCAGCCTCCACAGATCTCGTGATGGCAGGTGAGTTTTATTGCTAGCTTAGTTTATTTCATATGCTGAATTAGAGTTACACAGCTTAAGGAAGAATAGCCAATTCTGAAATAGAAGTTGAACATTTTCAATTTTTTTGAACTTTGCTAGGAACAGTTGTCCCAGATTATGGTCCAATTTAAAGCCAGTCAGAGGAGTTTAAAGCTTAGACTTGCTGCAGTAAAAAATATGGAGTCATCAAAGGGTATTGAGTAGGGAGAAGGCAGGATGAAAATGGTTATGTTAGTAAGATTAATTTAGCAAACAGTTGTGGAATACCTACTATATCAGCTACTGTTCTGGGAATACAAAGATGATATAGGCATAATCTATGTTTTTAATAAGCTCACAGTTTTAAAGAATAATAATATAGTCACTACTTATGTTGTGGTTTACAACATGGGATCTGGAATGATAAGCTTCAGTTTTTCTCATCTGTAAAATGGAAATAGTAATAATATCCTTTAGGGCTGTTGTAAAAAAATTAATGAGATAATATATCCAATTGCTTAGTACAGTGCCTGTCTTAGTAAGTGCCTGATTTTAACCTCTGTTATTATTGTAAGTGAATAATTAAAGTAAAATATAAGTATGATGGTACAGTTGGCCCTTCGTATCTATGGGTTTTGCATTCAGGATTCAACCAAATGGGTATGGAAAATATTGGGGGGAAAGTGTTACTTTGTTGCTGATGTGTACTATGTAGTTTGACTTATGGTGGTTGTGTCTGTCTTAAAAATACAGACTTAAAAGTACAGACTTTTTCTTCTTGTCATTTCCTAAACAGTACAATAAAACAACTATTTACATTGTGTTAGATATTATAAGTAATCTAGAGATGATTTAAAGCAGCGGTCGCCAACCTTTCCAGACCTCAAGGACCACCTGTTGGCGACTGCTGATTTAAAGTATGTAGGGGTGATTTAAAATATATAGGGGTGTGTGTGTAGGCTATATGCAAATATACCATCTATATAATAAAGAGCCAGGGTCGTAAGGACCAAAGGCTTGACCAGACCGGAAGTCAGTGCTGGGTTGCTGTGGTGACCCAGCACTGACTGAGGCTGCTAAGGGTGCCCCGACCCAGCACTGACTGCCTAGGCACTAGGGGGCTGCGGATCAGACCCAGAGAAAGGCCTGCAGAGAGAGACAGGGTCTGATCCGTAGGTTGATCAGAACTTGCCTCTCTTTCTCTCCAGGCCTGGCCAACAGCCGCGCCTCTATTTCTCTCCAGGCCTCCACCGGGGCTGCTGTTCAGCCCCGCCTTTCTGATCAGGCCCCGTTGATAGGCCCAGAGACACTGACTGGCATAGAAACTGACCAGTCAGAACCAAATCTGGGTGACTCTAAGGAGCCAATGGCTACCTAGTAGGTGGAGCTTTTGATGCTGACTGGCATAGAAACTGATCAGTCAGAACCAAATTCGCCCGCAGAGGAGGGCAGTTGGGGGCGAAGTCAGGCCTGCAGGGGAGGGCATTTGGGAGCAAGATCAGTATGGCAGGGGGAGGGCAGTTGGGAGCGAGCAGGCAGGCAGGCTGACGCAGTTAGGGATGATCAGGCAAATAGACAGAGAGGTTAGGGGCAATCAGGCAGGCAGGCAGAGGGGTTAGGGGCAATCAGGCAGGTAGGCAGGTGAGTGGTTAGAAGCCAGCGGTCCCAGATTGTGAGAGGGATGTCCAACTGCTGAGGGTTCCCCGATTGGAGTGGGCGCAGGCTGGGCTGAGGGAACTCCCCCTCCGTGCATGAATTTCGTGGACCAGGCTTCTAGTCCTATCTAATAGACAAACATGGTAATTGACCATACCTTCGCTACGCCTCCCATTGGCTAATCAGCATGATATGCAAATTAACTGCCAACAAATATGGCAGCTAATTTGCATACTGTAGGCAGGGCGGGACAGCGCCATCTCACCTGCTCCACCGCCATCCGGGCCTGCTATTTGCCACCTGGGGCGGTGGGACGGGACAGTGCCATCCCACCTGCCCTGCTGCCATCCGGGCCTGCTATCTGCATCCAGGCGTCCCGTGTGCAACCCGACCTGGGGCGGCCAGGCAGGGCAGCAGTGATCGGCCGGCCGCCGGCCGGGTGTCCCGTGTGCGACCCGACCCAGGGCGGTGGGGTGGGACAGCGTGGCTCCTCTGTCACCCCAGCTTCTTCATCACAGCTCCCTTGGGGGCCTAAGCCTTTAGTTGGACATCCCCCGAGGGCTCCTTGGCTGCCAGAAGGATGTCTGACTGCAAGCTTAGGCCTGATCCCCTGGGGAGTGGGCCTAAGTCGACAGGTGGGCATCCCCCAAGGGGTCCTGGGCTGCAAATGGGCACAGGCTGGGCTAAGGGACCGCCCTCTCCCCAAGTGCACAAATTTTTGTGCACCGGGCCTCTAGCCTATATATATAAAAGCCTAAGCAACTGGCCAACCAGCTGACTGGCTGGTAGCTATGATGCACACTGACCACCAGGGGGCAGACATTCAATGCAGGAGTGGAAACCACAAACATGGAAACATGGAACAGACTGATGAATCTCAGAGAAAAGGAGGGAGGGGGAAGGGCGGGAAGAGATTAACCAAAGATCTTATATGCATACTAGAGGCCTGGTGCACTGATTCGTGCACCAGTGGGGTCCCTCGGCCTGGCCTGCAGCTTCTCGCACTCCAGGAACCCTTGGGGGATGTTGGGCTGCTAGTTTTGGCCCGATCCCCACAGGCCAGGCCGAGGGACCCCACCAGCACACAAATTTGTGCACCGGGTCTCTAGTTTTATATAAAGATGAGCATCCATGGATTTTAGTATCTGTGGGGGTCCTAAACTAATCTTGGGCAGATACCAAGGGAAGACTGTGTAGTCCAGAGGTTGTCAAACTTTTTCTATAAAGAGCCACATAGTAAATATTTTAGGCTTTGTGGGTTATCCAATCTCTATTGTAACTATTCATTTATGCTGTTGTAGCATGAAAGCAGCCATAGATAATATGTAGTCAAAATGGGAATGACTATATTCCAGCCAATTTTTACTTACAAAAATAATAAGGGCACAGGATCAGAGAAGCTTCACAGAGAGAATGAGAGAAGGGGATGTATTTTCTTGTTAAATTTGCCAATGATTAGACACTTCTAAGGAGTTTTGCAATAATTCAGTTAAGAGATGATGAAGATTAATAGGAAAGTAGTGGCAATGGGAAGAGAGGAAGAACTGATCTGAAAAATATTTAGAAAGAAGAAATGAAAAGATAGGAATTGATGATGGAATAATAGCAACTAGAGAGAACTATATCAAATGTTTGTGTTGTTGTTGTTTTCTTAACAATTTCCAGTTTGGGAAATTGAAAGAATGAAAATTTGTAGGCCTAAAATGGAAAGCATTCTATGTTAACTTTAAAACATCTGTTTCTTTAACTGTCTAGTATCTTTTCAATCTCATCCTAGCCTTTCTCTCAGTCTTCTCTGTCCTAGTGTAGGATATGATTTCTATACTTTCTTTTTAGATTGAGACTTCTCATAAGATCTTTTACTTTCTAATGGGTCAGCTACTCTCTGTTTTTAAAAAGCAGCAGTCTTTTTTTGACTATGTTATATTTTCTACTTTTTATCTATTTTTTCCTTGTGTATAATAAAATTATAGCCCTGACCAGTTTGGCTCAGTGGATAGAGCATTGACCTGCAGACTGAAGGGTTCCAGATTCGATTCCGGTCAAGGGCATGTACCTTGGTTTCAGGCACATCTCCAGTAGTGGGTGTGCAGGAGGAGGCTGATCGATGTTTCTCTCTCATTGATGTTTCTAATTCTCTATCCCTCTCCCTTCCTCTCTGTAAAAAAAAAAAATAAAAAAAATATATATATATATATTTAAAAATATATATACAGGGTGCTTTAGGATCCCAGAGAAGAAACCCATCAAATTATCATGGATAGTCAGAGAAAACTTCACAAACAACATTGCACTGCTACAGTGAATATGATTCAGGGGAAGCACTTGGAAATTAAAGATAGGGAAAGAATATATATGCAGAGGCAAGGAGAACAGAAGAGTTAGGTACTGGAGTATGGCTGTTGCATAGTATGTATGTGTGGGCAATTGTGGTGATAAATTCAGCTTTGTATTTGAGAATGATCACTTTGGCAGCAGCCCAGGAGAGAAGATTTTAAGTAAGCTCAGTTGGGAAGTTTCTACAGTAATTTAGGGGTCCTATCTTATGACACTCATAAGGAGGGAGGGAATTAGAATACATTTTGTCAACACCATCCTCCATGAAATAACTATGACATTTGACATTTGATATTATTAGCCTCCTCCTTTTCAATAAGGATTGGACAGTTATTTTTAGTACAGTGCTTATGCATATGCATGTGGTAGTCCATATATAGAGATATATAGAAGAAAGTTAAAGTATAATTTCTGCATTCTAGGAACATATGACCTTTTAAGGAAGATAAGATATATACATAAGAACTAATTAAGTAATAGTGCAAGTCAGCATATAATTAAAACAGTGAATGCTAAAGATGATTGATGTTGTGGAACTTCAGAAAAGGGAAAGATCAGATTGGCCCATGAAAGTATCTTAGAGAAGATAAATAGAGTGAATGAATGGTAACAAAAGATAAGTTCATACTGAATAGAGAATTTCTGAAGGTAATTAAACATAGGGAATTTCAGCCTCTGTAATCTGGAGCTTAGATAAGGAAGTTTATAATCATTAATATAAGGAGTTGGTAATTAAAATTGTGAGAAGCCCTTAAGTCATAATTTAAAAAAGAACAGATCAAGAACAAGACCTTGGTAAAATACTTACAGTAATAATAATATAAGAAGAATAGCCAGCATATGATTCAGAGAAAGTGCTTATACTATACACATATGAGGGAATCAATAAAAAATAGTGTCATGAAATCACCATGGTAGTTAATTGCTTTTTAAATCATTCTTTTGGCATGACCTATTTGCAATACAGTTGTCTTTCCTCAGTTTGTATATATAGTATATACACACAAGTATATTGAATAACAAATGATTTTAGAAATACTGTGAGCATTTCCCAGAAATTCAGTGCCCAGAACTATAAAGGCGGCCTACTAAGGTTGTTCTATAATGTGGTGCAAGAACACTCATATTGTAAGCCTCTCTGCCATACCCTCAGACCACATTAAACCCAAAACTCTAAACAGGGATTATCATAATTCCAAAAGCCATTTCATGGAGATTTTTTAAAATATATTTTTTATTGATTTCAGAGAGGAAGGGAGAAGGAGAGAGAGATAGAAACATCAGTGATGAGTGAGAATCATTGATCGGCTGCCTCCTGCATGCTCCCTACTGGGGATTGAGCCAGCAACCCAGGCATTTGCCCTTGACTGGAATCGAACTTTGGACCCTTCAGTCTGCAGGCCAATACTCTTATCCACTGAGCCAAACCAGCTAGGGCCATCCATCAGTTTTTAAGTTTACTTGTTAACATTATCTTTTGGCCATCTTTTTCTCATTATCTTACGGTTTCTTGGTTATGAAATAACACACACATAAACACACACACACACACACACACACACACACACACACACATTCACAATACTCTAGTCCAGACTCCTTGATGGATAATTGAACTCAGTGCTATGTAAAATAAATACCCTGAGGCAAATACCTTACACATGTAAATCAACCTCAAAGAGTAAGTAATGGGTGATTAGATGAGAAGATGGTTAGAAAAGCAAGTGGATGAGTAGGTAGGTAAAGGTAGGTAAAAAAATTTTTTCCATTTGATTCAGTTGCCATATTTGAATTACAATGAGTGAGTAGGATGGTAAAACTAGGTGTCAACAAGGGAAAGTTAGGGAATGCATAATGAGATACTAGTGAAATTACAATGAATTGAATTATTCATTGTATAGAGAATCAAAGAGAGTAAATCATCTTCAAGTTTTTTTCATTTTGACTTTGGACTACACCATATTATCTTTTCAGCAAATTAACCATCCTAATTATTTTTGCCTAAGCTTACATTAAGACTAATGTACATTTTCTTAGTGTATGTTAGATGGTCACAGTGGTTTAAATGATTGTCAAAATATAAATAAACTTGGTAAGTCCCACATATACAATTGAGATTAAATACTATAATTAAATTTATTTTTCTATGTAGTTGATTTCTAATTATCCATGGGCAGGTTATTTATATTATAGAATTTTGTGGATAGCCATATATTTCACTTCAATAAATAGACATGATAACTCAATATAGTAATTTTTCTATGAAAAATGTATTCTTTGATTCATATTCATAACTAAGAAACATAGGTTTCATTTAAGAAAATATCCAATTCGTATTTTTAAGTAGTGATTTGGTGTTTTTTAATTAATCTGATATCATTCCTAGAGCTGAAGCAGATTTTTTTTCATTTGATTTATTTGCCATATTTATTTTAAACAATACTTATGAAGTCATGATAGTGAAAGAGCTTCAAATTAGCTGGCAGATCAAATTTGGAAAAATCTTTCACTCAGTTTAGGGCAGTAATTGTTTTGCAAAATAATAATAGAATACCAAGCTCATTCTGAAATTTTCAATTAACACTGTAATTATTTTATCAAAATATGCAAGTCAAATTTAAAACTGAAAACAAAAGATATGCTTTCTTTTATAATATTAAAAGGACTTTTCAATTTTTAAAATCTCTGATCTAATGAAAACATTATTTAATAAGCACACTATCAAACTAGATCTCCTCAGAAGTTCATGAATCAGTCTTTAAAATCTTTAAATTTTAGCCGAGACAGTGTGGTTCAGTATTTCAGCATCAACCCATGAACCAGGTCACTATTGGATTCCTGGTCAGGGCACATGCCTGGGTTGTGGAGTTGATACCCAGTGGGGGGGGGAGGGGGGGGGCGGGTATACAAGAAGGAGCCAATTGATGATCCTCTCATCATTGATGTTTCTATCTCTCTTTTCCTCTTTCTAAAATCAGTAAAGTCATAGTTTTAAAAATCTTTAAATTTTATAAATGGTTCATATTGAGTCATGAAATTTGTTATAATTATGAAAGAATGATAAATAAATACTTTGACACCCAATAGGTCTTCAGCTGCATATTAGTTATTTTGATGACTATTTTAAAAAGAAATGGCCTGCTATATTCTTTTTTATTTTTAGAAACATTACTTAAAATTTAATATGTCAAAGTTATAAATTATATTCAGTTAGTTTTCTTTGAGATTTGTTATCCTAAATTAAATACTTTTTACAAAAAGGTGTACATCTGAGTGTGAGTATTCTTATATCTGATAGGGGCTCAGTGAGTCAGGATTGGTACAAAAGAAAATTTAACAGCTCCCCATTGCTGCTTTCAAAATGAGTACAACGATGGAGGAGAAGACTGTCCACAATAAGCAGTGTAGCCGTTGGCATACTCAAAAGCTGCATCTTTGTTCAGGGTACTGAGAGAATTTGCTTTAGCAGGAATATAAGTTATAGTGTATTAGTATGTTGTTATGTATATTTAAGTAGATGTACCTCTATGAAATAGCATAGTATCCTCACAGCACCGAGGAAAAATAATTAACATCATTTACAGTAGTTAATTTAATTGTTAACTGGGCTATCTGGAAAGAAGCTGTCAGCACATGCTGTCATTGTTGCTTGCCAGTTCATTCATCTTTTTTCCTTTTCCTTTTTGGTTACACTAATTTCTCCTCTAATTTCATATGCTCCCTCTTCCTAATCTTTTAGTAAAATTTGAGTTGCTGTACTTCTGATTATAGCCAATTTTCTACACTCCTGAGGCCAGTGCCATCTTTCCTCCATTGTTTTTCCTCCTCTTCTTGAACTCACCCCATAAACCATAACTTATTTGAATGAGAAAAATTAACCTTGATTTCTGTCCTTTTGCAAAGAATAGGACCTTAATTCTGAATCCAATGAGTATATTTTCTTCCCTTTTTTTTGGTTAGCCATATGAATAATTCTACAGTGTTAATGAAATTGCTGTATATCATCAAAGGTGGTTGTTACTTTTTCACTTGTTGGTTTCCTAATTATTTCATTTAGTGCAGCATTTTCATGAAAAATTTCGTGTTATTTTTCTGATGTGTTCTATTACTTGCTTCAAAATAAACTCTCCTGTACTAGGTATACTCCCTGCAGTTACAGAGGAATGGAAGAGAGACTACCTCATGGCAGCATGTCACGACTAACAGATCACTCCAGGCACAGTAGTTCTCATCGTCTCAATGAACAGTCACGACATAGCAGCATCCGGGATCTCAGTAATAATCCTATGACTCACATCACACATGGCACCAGCATGAACCGAGTTATTGAAGAAGATGGAACCAGTGCTTAATTTGTTCTAAGGTGGAAAATTTGTGCCGTTTTATAAAGCAGATTTTATTCTTTGCCTTTAGCATGACTGACTGCTGTAACTCACTGTTATCATGCGTTCAGTCAGGTGCAGATGTGTCCATTGGAAGAGTAAATTTTTGCTTTTTATATTGCATCAAACTTGGAATATCAAGGCGTCTTAAAATTATATTGTCACATAAATAATTCTTATTTCTAGGTAACGAAGAGAGAATTATTTGTCTGGTAAGCATTTTTATAAACCCACTATTTTATATTTAGAAAAATCCTAAATGTGTGGTGACTGCTTTGTAGTGAACTTTCATATATAATGTCAACTAGTTGTGAGACAACATTCTAGTCGTTCTGTTAATAAAACAAAATTTCAGAATTAAAGAATTTTCTATGCAAGGCTTATTTCTCGGATGAATGGTAGGATTTTGTAGTTTTATTTCCATAAGTGAAAAAGAACTGTGGTTTTAAACTGTAAGAGAATTTGATAAATCAGCAAGGGTATTTTAACTGATAGAATATAAGATCAACAGAAGAATCTGATTAGAGTATTGAAGGCTTTTTCAAAATTCTATCAAAATAAATTTCATCCAGAGAAATACAGGATTAGGAATATCAGTGGCCATTTTTTCCCAGTAAGTGAGCTGTTTTTATTACTTTTGTAAATATTCCTTTTACTGGCAGTGTTTTTATAACTTATCCATATGCATGTTGGAAAAAATAATTTGTAGCCTTTTCCCATGTAGTAATATTAATTCGTAGAGAACTTTATGTTCAGATCTGTTCATGGAAACATGTAATAAGATAAGCATCACACATTATAAGGTTTTTTTGTGGTAACCACAATTACAAAATGGCAAAATGTTTTCTCTGTATTCATTGTTGTATTTTTCTGCAGTGAGATGTGATCTTGCCAAAGCCACCAGATCTTGACATCCAGCCCCTCCTATCAATGAGTTGATTGTCTGTACTTGCATTGCCCAGTAGCAAATAGGCTACAGCTTTTGCCCCCTCCTTTGTATTCAGATTCTGGATCAGTCTTGTTTACAGCTGAAATATATATAACCTCGGTCCAAAGTGGTGATTTATATGGGGTATCTGAAAAATCACTGTAACTAAATGAAGCATGATTCGTCTTGCTGTGAAGTATCTTGTAATCTTAAAAATATCAAAATTTTTGACATTTTGTCTTGTAACATTTAAATAATTTACAATAAAAACTGGTAACTGTATTAGGCATGAAATTGATCAGAAGAGAAAGAAAATTATTGGAAAATGCTGGATGTATTGTATAGAAAAACATTTTAAACAAGCATGTCCTCAACCCCGACTAGAGGTAAGAATCATTTGGGGAACCTCTGATGCTCAAGCCTTCCTCTCATTCAGATGAGGATAGGTTTTTAAATAAGTTTTCTAGGTGATTCTAATCTGTAGCCAGGCTTCAGGCTGTTTTGAACTGATTTGCTTCTGTTGATGATCTGATGGCGTCTCATTATATCACGTGAAAATGTAGGTGGACTCAATATTATACTTTTACATCATTACCTGATACAAAATTGTTTTCCACTTTATTTGTCCATTATGAAATGTGAAATGCTGACCCCACTCTCCAAAATTCTCATTCTGTAACTCAAAGATGGTAAGAATTTAAAATCTGTAGTTATAAAAATACCATTGGTGATTCTTACGCAGATAATCCAAGAATGACACCTTAGAAAATATTCTAAACTCCAGAGAGGCCTGGCTTTGTCATTTGCTGGCTTTTGACCTTTAAAAAGTCAACTTCTCTGAGCTTTAGTTCCCTTGTTTGTAAATGAAGATAAAAGATAAATACCTACCTCACAAAGTTGTCAAATAGGGGATCAAATGAAAAATCATATGAAAACTCTTTGAAAACTAAAATATAAGGGATTAAGATTATTGAGGTTTTAAGAGATTTATTTGAGGGCTACTATCATACATTGCTTGACATGTGTTTGGTTCATGTGTACTTTTACTCTCTTTTTTAAAAAACAAAAAGTAACAAAGAATTAGGTGTTGAAAAAGTAGCTTTTATCAGACACAAAAGTCAGTTTTCTGGTAATAATTTATATATCATGTTTTTTTCAAAGTACATGTTAATATTTTTGTTATTAATTCCGCATAAGATATATTTGAACATTTGGCCCACAATGTAATTTTTTTCTGTCTTCGTTGTCTTTCTCCTTGGAATTGGAGTAAGTGATCAAGACAATATAAATTCCCTCATAACTGACATTTAGTAAACCTTTTCTCTGAAGGCCAAATTTACAACTTATTTATAAATAAATGAACAATTCATGAGGCTTTTGTCTGAGAATCTCTCCTGAGAACAGCATGAGAGGACCAACACAAGCATTCAAAAACAAAAATAAGAAGTTAAAATAGAAGGTACCAGTTTGAGCTCAAAGATGTTGTCAGTCATCGCCATCTGCATTATGTTATCAATTGCCAAAATGTTAATTGGTTTTCTTGTACAAGTGGCCAAGTATAGACAGTTAATTGAACATTATGAAAATACTAATTTTTGCTTCTTGATTTTATGTATTCATTTATATCTTCTCTATTTAACTGTTGATATATATGTAAATGCTATATTGACATTTTAGTTCAGAAAAATATTCTAAACTCCAGAGAGGCCTGGCTTCTATTGACATTAAGATACTGGAAGTATCTTAATTTTGCAACACAAAATTTATTTAATATTGTTAATTCATTGTTTTGAATAACAATATTTAGTTTGGGCCATGTTATTTATCAAACTAGTGCTCCAAATTAATTTGTTTTTCAAAGACAGTTGAAGAACTATATGTAGCGAACAGCATTTCAAGTTTCAACTAGCTTAAACCAATTTGAGCAAGTCTGGACAGCTTTCTTACCATATGTTTAATTTGTGTTGTGATTGGCACATGATAATGTTTAGTGTTTTGTTCGTTCAATTGACAGCTGAGAAAATAATAGTGCTCTCTCAAATGTTAATATATAATCAAAAGGTTTTCAGAAAGTACTTTGATTTTACCAATATTGTGTTTAATTTATTCAGGAGTTAAAAAATCCAAGACAATATTAAGCTAAAATAATAGCTTCAAAGAATAATTGATTAATAATTCAATAACTAGCACAGGGCTTACTACATAGTAAATTTTTTAATAAATGAATAACATGTCATACAACTCACTTTTACTCTTAACAGTGAGTCTCACTTCAAAAAAAATTGAAGGGTCTGAATTTAAACTAAGTGAAATTAACTCTGCTTTACCAAAATAACATGTAACAAGTAATAAGAAATAAGTAAATTATACCAAATGAAGCATATTTCCCAGTCCATATTACTATTTAAACTAAAATATATATATATATAAAGTATATATACACACACACATACACATACACACAAACTTGTACCAACACTTTATATTCATTTTTAATGGTGAGAGCTATTCTTAGAAGTATTTAGGCTCTTTTTGGTTTTATGTGAAATTAAATCTTTGGGTATTAGTTGGGTGAATAAATACTTAAGCAAACCTTCATTAGTAATAATTTTCTCTTTCTGCTTCTTCTTAAAGCAGATTTAGAAATCTAAGAATCTCTTCAAATTAGAAAATTTTTTCAACATTTTAACCTACCTCATTAATTTCTTTGTGATAACAGCTGGAAATAACTGAAATTTGTAACTATCTTGATTTAGGCTATAGCCCCATGAAATAAAATGAACGACTTACATTTTTTTTATAAAATAGAGGATCATTGGCTAAAACTTAGAAAACATTAATATACCAAAATTTCACTCTGGTGATATTTATACCACTTTTGACATGCCAAAGGTACATTTATATATATTATCATACTTGGATGACTTACATAGTCTAGTGTAATGAAAATTCCACTGGGCTTGGAATTCAAAAACCCATAATTATGGTGTGAAGTGCACAGGTCATTTAACTTCTCTTAGTCTCAGTGTCTTCAGTTGAAAATGAGGATAAGGCAATTTTTGGTCCCAACTTACCTCACAGAATATGTGAGGATCAAATGAGATGACATGTATTATAATGCTTTGTAATCTATAAATTGCTCTACTTACATGTTTCTGTTAGAATTTGGGGGTTGTAGATAACAAGGATATGGTCTTCAGTGTTATATAGCAGTAACAACAAAGTAGGCAGTTAGACCAGTGTTCATTCGGTATAATGTTTAAATCAACAATCCAATTATCCTTTTAAAAATGAGATTCTTTTTCAAGAGTAGCTCTGCCCTTAAATTGTGTTGGCTCTCTATAATACCCCAGTATGCTCTCAAATTTTGTATGATGGGTTTGTAGGTCCCTTCCAACAGAAATTAGGGATCTCTAGTATATGTTACCTTTGATATGGAATTATATAAAATCGCTTGGCTTCACTGAAAGTTGTAAGAAAAATAAAATAAGTGTAAGCCTTATAACTTGTTTTCTTTGAGGACTTTCATGTGCCTAATTCTTCCTGATTAAGAACAAGTTTTAAAAGGTGATTACTGTAAGTTATTGGTTTTCATCACTGCAAAACTTTAAATTGTAAGGTATTGTCTTAATTGTTTGTATGTTTGTATACATAGTTTTTTAAACCTGCATAAAAGGTAAGAATTTCTCCATTTTTTTCCTCATGTAAGCAGATGAAAGATAACTTTATAAAACCAAGATTTACAGAGGAACTCATGATTCCTTTACATTTCTTTTATCCTTTTTTACAACTGATTAAAATGAGATAAAGTGTTTACATTTAATTCAGCTATGTTTCTTAGTAGCTGTATAATTTTATACATTATTCTTATTTCTGTCTGTTTTATATGAAAAAATAATGTTGACATCTCATAATTTAATTCTCTTTCCTTCTCTTTTGTTCCAGTTGTATGAGTTATAGGAAGATCAAGCATCCTTTACCTCTCTTATAACTATAATCAGTTTCCTAGAGTTTTTTCCTAATTTAACTTTAATCCTTGATTTCTTTTATGGCCAAATTCATATAGAATTATAATTTTCTCTCAGGATCCAAAATCTAGGGGAAAATGTTAAGGTCTGCCTAGCCATCTTCGTAGACATTACTATTTTGGTTGATATATAAAGATTTAATATAATTAGTTAATAAGCCTATTTCTTTTTCTCCGATTTCTCTAATTAGTAAAAATTTTTTGCTGTAAAGATAAAAGAAAGTTTCACTTATGTTTTAGTCAGGTACTATTCCAGTACAACATTATTTCCTTTAAGAGTAGTTCCATCTATTTAAACGCATTGAAGGATAAGTTTCTTCAGATTATTATTTTTTTAAAGAATCACCTATCTCAGAAAATTTATTGTGTCCTTTCTTGGACATTTTTCAAGGTATGATAACATTGCTCATAATTTATTCCTATTTTATTGGCCACTGTCACCAGTTTAACTTAATACAAAAAGTTTTTTTTTATATTGTAATTTAGATTTTGAGAACTCAGAGTTCCATAATTTTGGTAATTACCATTCACTAGTAACATCTATATATATAAAACCCTAATATGCAAATAGACCAAACAGTAGAACAACCAAACAACTGAAAAACTAGTCGCTATGACATGGGCTGAGCACCAGGGGGCGCGGGTAGAACATGGCGGGTGTCAGCAGCAGGCAGCAGAGCGTGGAACATGGCAGGCATTGGCCGTGGCAGGATGGTGGAGCAGACGAGCAGGGGTACCAGACCAAGGCGGGGCACCGGTCACTGTCATTGGGGCGAGCCTCTGGTAGTTACTGAAAATTCTTTGCTCCTGTGTGCCATGGTCCCGCCAGGTGCTTGCACCTGCTGCCAGCACCAGAGCCACTGCTCGCACCTGCTGCCAGTGCCCAGTGCCAGCCTCAATCGCTCAGTGCTGTCAGCAGGTGCAGGCGGCAGCTGCTGGCCCCGATCACACCTGAGGGCTTCTCCACCTCCCCCTGCTCCTGAGGGGTGATCGGGGCAGCAGCTGCCACTCGCACCCGCTGATGGCGCAAAGCAACTGGGGCTGGTGCCGTCAGCGCATGGGAGTGGTGGCGGCAGGAGCAGGGCGGCAGGAGGGGCTGGGCAGGGGCATGGAGGATGGGCCGAGACACCCCCCCCCCCCCGTGCCCACCACAGCCTTGGGACCCACTTCCTTTCAAGGTGCACGAATTTGTGCACTGGGCCCCTAGTTACTATTTATAACACTGATATTTTTCAAGCTTTTATTTCATCATATTTCCTGCAATAGGGTGAACTACATTATTATTTTTACTTGACCTGGGGTTTTTGTTATATAAGTCAGCTTGTTTATATTACTAACTTGCAACTATTTTTTTGTGTTGTACTTGTTTAGAATAAAACTATATTGAGTTAAATAATTTCTGTTTTCTAAATTGGCAGTATTTTAAATGCTTAGTAAAAAGGCATTATGTTATTTTTGAGTACCACTGAATTTTGAGTCAGGCAACTTGATTTTTAGGTTTGTCTCTCTTCAAATAAACTGTGTAGCTTTGGAGTTTTACCTCTTAGATTGGTTTTCTCATTTGTAAATGAAAGAAACAAGGCCATTAGATTAGGTAGTCTCAAATTCCACCTGTCTTTAATATGGTTGTTTCTTGACCATTTTATAATCATTATCTGGGCTTGCTTTTTTCCCCCCATGAACTATATTTACTAGATTAACCTGTACTGTTAATGCAATTTATTCTTAAATTGATAGGATTCAGATATGTTACTTTGTTTCCCATTCATGATTTTAAGTAATTTTAAAGGAGGAAAATTGTATTACCAATAACAAAAGTGAAAGAAAGCTTACATGTAAGCTTTATTTAAAATTCTCAATATATAAATAAAAATAAAAATAAAAATTCTCCTAAAGCACCAATATAAGCACCTCAAATTTACATACAGAAAAACTGACATATAAAATGTGGTTTTTGTTCTCTTAAATATGAATATAGCTAGTTAGCCTAAACTTTGAATAAACCACGCAGTGATAATACTGGCTCATATAGCCAATTAAAAAGCTATCGGGGCCCTTGCCAGTTTGCAGCAGCGGTTAAGCATCAATCTATGAACCAGGAGGTCACAGTTCAGGCTTGATTCCTAATGTAGGGTGTGCAGGAGGCAGCCAATTAATGATTTTCTCTCATTGATGTTTCTATCTCTCCCTCTCCCTTCTTCTCTGAAATCACTAAAAGTATTTTTTTTAATTAATGGAAAAAATATCCTCGGGTGAGGATTAACAAAAGAAAAAAGCTATCGGGTTTTACCAACATTAAAATAATTATAAAATGTAAAAGGAATTTCAGAGTAGATCGAAACTTTTCTGTTCAATAATTATTCTTAAGTTGTATTCTTAGATTCATTGAGGGAATACAGTTGCTAGATTGCCATGAACATGTATATATCCTGCTTTAAAATATTATTAGAGATAAATGTGATTTGTTAAAAATAATTTTAATTTTTTTCTGGCTGTGCATATGTTTCCATAAAGCCTCTTTAGCTGTCTGATAAAATGTAGCAATTCCATCAGTTCATCTCTCTGCAGAATTCTCTTTTTTAGATTGTGTTTTCTGAGAACCAGGCCAAGGAGATTTCTGTTACTTTTAAAGATCATTGTCTTTGCTCTAATTGTCTGCATTCGCTCATATCAATCTCTTGAACACTTTGGTCTATTTATTTGGTAATTATTGGGTCTGATAATTGGGTTTGTGGTCTGATGGGTAGAAAAGAATAATGGAAAGTTGATATAGGAAGGTGAACTGTTCTGGTGTGATTTCTTTGGTTATATAGTTCTGTGCCTTGGTCAGATCACTGAATCAGGCAGCTCTCCTGGCTTCCAGAAATTCAATCAGATTTCCCAGCTGCTCTCATGCCTATGTTACTTGCCTATATTACAATGCCTATATTACAATGTTATTTTGATTGCCTGTTTAAAAATTAATCTTCATTTTCAAATATCTGGCTCTGCATGTTTGATTACATTTGTTAAACTTGAACCTGATGCCCAAACATTTCTTTGAATATTTTCTGGGTTTTGATAATGGAATATTCTATAACATAAAGCAGATAATCCCAGAATGATTTAATTTATATTGGTCATCCACAGTTTTTCTATTTCTGTACTTTTCCCCTCCCCAGTTTTGAAAAGAAAATTTATAAATGTCTTCCTTCACTCCCTTATTCCTGCCTCAGTTAGTTTCCCCCCAAACTACTCTGGTGAGCAGAAACATTTAATAGGAAATAAAAGAACAACACAGTAGTTCTTTACATTGAGTTGAGGTGAAAATGATGTACTGGAAAATAATGTATTTTATTTATATGTGAGCTTAAAATTATTTTTTTAATCATAAAAAGGACTCTGATATAAAAATATTAGTCTGGAAGTTCTCTTGTTATCAGGTGCTATTTCTACCTTAGCTGTGAGTTATCAGAGTAAATTGAATTCTTTATCTTTTTTTTACTTCACTAGAATAATCCCATTTCATACATCTTTAATACCAGCTTCAAACAACTTGCTTGCTTTTATTTTCAAACTAGAGGCCCGGTGCATGAAATTCATGCACCTCAGCCCAGCCTGTGCCCTCTCGCAGTCTGGGACCTCTTGCTCCTTACTGCCCGCCTGCTTGCTGTTTCTTTACTACTTGGCTCGCTGCTCCTTCCTTAGCACTGCTGTGGAGGAGGGAGAGGCTTCCGCCACCACCACTGCGCTCACCACCTGTGAGCCCAGTGGGAGCACACTGACCACCAGGGGGCAGCTCCTGCATTGAACGTCTGTCCCTTGGTGGTCAGTGTGCATCATAGCGACTGGCCTTAATGGTCTCTTAGGCTTTTATTACATAGATGCCAAAATTTATTTTTGAGAGTTTTCTTGTTTTCATTGAAGTTTATTTTGGCATGATAAAGATATCACCACCCTCCCCCAGCCATAAAAAGAAAAGTTAATTTGACACTGAAAATCTATTGAATTGTCTTATTTTTTATTAATTAAAAAAGCTATAAAGCTGTTTCTTCTCATTTAAACATTTTTAATTAATAAAATACTAATTTTGCTGTACTTTAATCTGATAGTGAAATTGGGAGATTATATAAATTTATGTGTCTACAGTTAATAGTTATTGGTTATTTCACTTTCTGTACACTTTCTCTACACATTAAGTCAATGTATAGTTCTTTCATAACCTTAGATATTGTCATATATAAAGGATTAGTCTGTAAATATCACTTAAAGGCAAAAAGACTCCCCCACCTCATATCTAATATGGACTCAAATTTTGCTAATTATAGAATTTTATCTTCTTGGTAGGCATTTGGAGATAAAACTACTATGTTATATAGCCAACAAGTTTCCCTCAAAATGCCATTTAAAGATTTTTATACCTATACTAGAGGCCCAGTGCACCAGTGGGGTCCCTTGGTCTGGCCTGCAGGGATCAGGCTGAAACCGGCTCTCCGACATCCCCCGAGGGGTCCCGGATTGCAAGAGGGCACAGACCAGGCCGAGGGACCCCACCCATGCACAATCGGGGCTGTGGAGGGTCAGCGGGAGGGCTCCAGGGTGTGTCCGGCTCGTCTTGCCCAGTCCTAATCGGCTGGACCCCAGCAGCAAGCTAACCTACCAGTTGGAGCATCTGCCCCCTGGTGGTCAGTGCACATCTAGCTACCAGTCAAACAGTTGCTTAGGCTTTTATATATGTAGATTTCAAGTGATAAGAATAAAAGTGAGTATAAAAATATGAAGCTTCTTCTACACATGAAATCCCCAATTTTAGTTACAGCTGTGATCTAAAAGGTTGTAAATTGAGTCGTTCCAAATTCATATGTTGTTACAGCTCCTCATATAAATAATATCTTGAATAATAAGGGTAACAGGTTAGCTAACAAGAGTTGATCTAGTACATTCCAGTATCTTGGTGTCTTGGTTTTGGATAAACTTTTATAGTGGAGAAAGCTTATTTTGACCTCTTAATAACTTCTTGGTATATTTCTTCTTAGTTGATACCATGAGTCTTGCCCAAGTACATACCCTCTCCTTTACATTCCCCAAGATATTACTATCTGCCTTTTTTTTTTTATGTTTTTATTGATTTCAGAGACAGGAAGGGAGATGGAAAGAGGGATAGAAACATCAATGATGAGAAATAGTCGATTGGTTGCCTCCTGCACACCCCCTATTAGGGACCGAGCCTGCAACCCAGGCATGTGCCCTGACCGGGAGTCGAACCATGACCTCCTGGTTAACGCTCAACCACTAAGCCACATGGACAGGGCTGCCTTTTATCTCCAGTCTTCCTTATCGATACTTCCAAAGTATAACATCTCAAGTGTTAGGAAGAAAGAAATTTGCTTTAACTTATTAACATTAAAGTATTGGTGACTGTAGCCCTTTTACCTCTGTCTTAAAAAGAAATCTGTATTTAAGAACAAACACATTATTCAACAATAAAGATTTAAAATAAATAAATAGAACAAATACATTAGTGCCAGTGCAAATTACTATCAGTTAATAGAATATTAAGTCTTAAGACAAAAGTGAAAATAATCTCAGTGTTGATGGGACTATTGTGAGGCAAGAGATATTAAATGACCGAA